CGAAGAGGTCCCTTCTGAGGGCACATTCAGCACGGTGCCCTGTTTCCCCTAGACCCTCATACTCCCTGACAGCAGCGGGGCTGCCAGATCCAGAGTGGGACGTATCTAACAAGTCCCCAAGAGTCTTTTCTGTGCGCCTAACTGACTGTCTCTGCTTCTCCAGGTCAGCCACCTTGGCCTCAAGGGAGCACACACGTTCCCTGAGAAACAGGAGCTCCTTGCACCGAGCACACACCCAAGACTTCTGCCCAGTGGGCAGATAGTCATACATGTGACACTCCGTGCAAAACACTGGATAGCCCCCAACCCCCTGCTGGCATTCTGGCTTCATAATTCTTTTAAAATAAGTAAATATAATCCCCCTTTTAAAACCCTTTTGTATTTATGTGGTTTTTCTTGTCGAAGTCAAATTACGGGGAAGACAAAGAGCCTAGGGCCTTCGCTATCTGGCTCTTCTTGGGCGTCTCCCAGAGCCCCTAGTCCAAGAGTCCCTAGGTGAAGAGCCCTTTAGCTTGCCCTTCGGCTCATGCCAGAGGCTCGTGCCTCTGGCAAGGTGGGTTCTTAAATACTAAAGTACAGTCAATCACAGTCAAACAATGCCCCTTCCTCTCCCTCTCTCAAGCAGCCAGGACTGCAACAACTCTAAGCGTTTTCACACACTCCCAGACCAGTCCCAGACCAGTTCTCCCACACAATATCCTCAGCTGAATCCCCTCAGCTGAAAGCAAGTAAAAAAACACTCACCCTCTAGCACCTCTGTCTCCTGCTCAGAGCTCAGCTGGGTCTCCAACTTAACTCCCAAGTTACCTTCCCTGGTTTGAAGCTCTTCAGGTTACAAAATCCTGATTCTGAAGCCTTGCTGGAAAATATCAGAGCCTTGGTAGATGTATTTTAGGGAGGGCTTTTGCTGGATTTCATGGGTAGGGGACTCCCTAGGCAGCCTATGGCCATTTTAAAGGAGATATTCTCTGCTTTCTTCGATGGTTGGCGACGTGTATTTTTTTTTTAAGTATTACCTTCGACAGAACAACTCTGCCTTTTCCTGTGGGTCACCAGAACTGAATTTATCATTAGGACTGGTGACCATATTTGTTTCTTTTGAAAAATTAATATGCCACCTTTCCTGAAACCCTCTGGAGGTAGTTCACAAAGTAGAGCAATGTGGTAATTTCATTAAAGCAGCATACAGTAACAACCACAGCTAGCTCTTAAAAATGAGCCAGTGCATGAAAACAGCATAACCTCAAAAAGAGGCCCTGTGGCTCAGAGTAGACCGTAAAAAGGGTTTCCAGAAAAGCGGTAGAATGGTCTAGGTCAACGTTCAGGCCCCCCCCCCCCCCCGCCCCCAGTATAGAATCCCTTGTCTGTCAAGAGGACCAACCTTTCAGGGAGCCTTCCTTGAACAGGGATCAACATGGCAGGCCAGTGGCGTTTGTCAACAGACAGAGTTTCAGAATGTTCTAATGCTGCAAAGGATGATTGGTTTTATGGCAGGGTCAGGCCCCCTTTTCCATAGACGGTGGGTGGGGGGTGCTCATGAGCCGTGAAGTATTGGAAGATGATTGCCGCAAGCGTCTTAGCTAGTGCGGGTTTTTAAATTGGTGGTGTGCCAGAACTGCTATTGTTAAACTGTGTGGTTAGTAGTCATCTCCAGGAGTGAGTTCTGTACGCAGTCACAACTGCTCACATTGTCTGTGCCAGATTTTGGGAGGAAGATTCCTTCCCACGTAAGGAGTAGCTGGGGAGATGTGCTTTGCCTTATGAAACCGACAGCTTATTTAAAAAGTGGCGTCTGTATCTGGAGGCAAATGGATGGAATCAGATGGAAAACCAGTGAAAGTCTGAATGTGCTGACATTCTATTGTTTTTCCCCTCTGTAATCTTACAGATGAATGGGAGAACCCTTCCCCACAGGAAAGAGAAAGGGGGGAGGACCTTTGTCACCTAGAGAGACAGGGTTAGGCTGCTCATGGGAGGGTCTGTCGAATGGGGAGGTCTCTGGTCTACAGATTATAATTTTCTCCATTGTTATCCTTGTAGTGCGTTTTTCGCAAACTTCAGACGCAGCCTCTCTCTTTTTTTGTCACTGTGGTTGAACGTTTTCTGACTTCCGAGGGAACTCTGATGCCAGCCCTCAGGATGGATTAATGCCCCC